TGGATGGCTATTGTTGTTATAAAAACAACAACAACCATAGGCCAGCTTAATACCTTGACTTTAATGTTATTACATTTATAGACACACTGTTTTCATCTTTCATTTTTAATTTTCATTTAAGCCATGCAGAATTCATCAGTGACATGTCACTTAGCAACCTAAACCTGGAGGTTTTAAGGGATGCATAGACTAAAACAGTGTTTAGTAGCAACTTCTCTTATATGTTCAACTTGAACTAATAGCATTTCATCCATTTAGCTTCTTAATTTCTCAAGAGTCCACTAAAACGCAATGTTTTTCCATAATAAATTAATAATAGGATTACTTGCAAATGAAACACAAGGAGCCAGAAACCAAAACAGCAAACACAGGAGCCCAGAAAACAACTCAAAACAACCAAACAAACAAGGTCCACAAAAGGTGCAGGAGGCCATGAAAACAGTTCCAAAAAAAAGTTCAGGGGGCCGGCCTGGAGGTAGACAGCACAAGGTCCAAACCCGGGCAGTTCAGGAGGCCGACTGTGTGAAAAGCAACAGCGGCGAAGGAGGTCCGGAGGCCGGCCACGCAGAGGACAGCGGCGCGAAGGCAGGCGAAGGAGGCCCGGAGGCCGGCCGCGCGGAAGGCAGCGGCAGCGGCGGCGACGCAGTTCAGGAGGCCATCCACGATGGCAATGAAGTCCAGTCATCAGCCTGGAAGGTGGCTGGCAATGTTGAGGTGCTGGACGTGGACTGGACGGCGCTTGGCAGTGGCAGGACCAGGCGAGGCAGGACCAGGCAACGACGGCGTGGGAGCCGCTGATGGTGGCGCTACAGGCGACGAAGACTGGACGGGCCCCTCGGACCCTCCAGCGGAGACAGAAAGGCAGGAAGGCAGAGGAGCAGGCTCAGCAACAATTGACTCAGCTAAAATAGGTTTTAACCCCTTTTCACCATGATTAACAGTTTTCAAAATCCTAGGTTTAACAGTCTTAGAGTGAGCTGACTTGGGGATGACTGAACCAGACTTGACAAAACCTGAACTGACAGAACCTGAACTGAATGTCTTAGTACTAGTAACATTGCTCACAGTTTTAACAGGGTTCATAGTCTTAAGCTGAGGATTATTGTCCTTGATTCCTCCCTGCTCAGAGGGAGCAAAATGAAAAAAACGTTTCCCAGTCTACGTCATCATCCAAAAGGGAAGTTCCCCACGGATCAGAGGTGAGTTTATTACTCTTAACGTCAGATGGGACGTGAGAATAGGAGAGAAACACAGCTGGGGCAAATCAGGCCTAACGAAACAGGGGAAGCAAAACCAGACACATTAACATAAGACATGCACCTCCAAAGTAAAACAGGAAACATAACACAGACGGAACTACAGACACAGACTCTGACTGGACACAGGGAGACAGCAACTATGGAACAGAACAGAAACCAGAAGACAACTCTGACAAAGAAATGATAAATGATATAATAAACTCAAAACTCTGGGTCAACGACCCAGGCATCCTAACAATTACCTTATTGTGTGTGTATAACCTCTTTTTAAGTTTTGTGAATATTATACACGGTTATGCTGAGGATTGTCGGCCAGTTTCCACTGGAAATGCCTTTTGGTTAAACTGTCAGCAAGGAATTTGCATTTGCACTGCTAAATTTTTATATAACTTCCATGCACATAAATAAAGTTGTGGAGTTGTAAAGTATTTTGTCTAGTGTCAATTATATCATCAGTTATATCATTATTGCAAATTTTCAAATGTATATCGTGATAAATATTTTTGGTCATATCGCCCTGCTCTTCTTGCAATAATTAATCTAATTGATCTAATGATTATATAGACACATATATAGGTGCAACATTGTATTTCATCACGCTGAATGATTTTCAAACCTGCTCACGATTATTCCTGCTTTTGAGAGAGTTGACTCTCCTCATTATGCTATAATAAAGTGTGATTATTAATATAATTACTCAGTTCATTTAGTTATATGAACAGTAGCAGGTGGGCGTTTGCAGTATTTCCACACGCTGTAGCGTTGACCTTGTGCAGTTAACCATGACAAGTGTATTAAATATACTGACATTCTTACAGAAGTGTGTTGTTATGCGCTCTCCTATCGATTTTCAGTGAAAGTCCTCTTAGGAATGTCAAAGTGTTATACTTGTCAGAGAGAATATATTGATATGCTTGCCATGTGCTTGCAAACATTTCCAGTTCACAGCAAGGAGAATCTTATCATGGTGTCTGACTTTGTCAACACTATTAAATTTAGAGAGAGTCTGTGATTAATAACTTCCACATAAGGAGAAAATAGGAAGAGGCGCAGGCTTGAAGGCTTACAGAAAGATTAATGAGTGTCAAAAACAATGAATTTTCCATTAGATAGTAGATTGTCATACATTACTTGTGTGATCTTCCAGGTTTCCTCATCAGATAAGTTTGTTCAAGGATCATCAAAAAATTATCCATTTTTTATAGATAAAAATTTTATCCCTTGTGCACAAGTCAGAAATATTACTTTTTCCAAAATACCACAACTAGCAATCTAATCATAGTTTTTATTGAACATTTGACCTGACTATTAAGAGAGAACAAATACGAATGTGCAGAACTTGCCTTGTGAAGGCTGGTTGCAAAGGGGAAAAAAGGACTGATTACGGGACACTCTTTTAATTTCAGCAGCATTATTTAAAACACACATGCACACGCAAGAACACGGGAAGTGTCATGCCTCTCTAAGACCTTTCTCTGCAACTGTGTTATTATTGTTACCAGCGATGGCCAGCTGATATCAAATATCAGCAATGGGGAAAACAAACACGCAGCATTCATGAGCATGTTGAATACTAATGCAACTTTGAGTAGCAGAAAAATGATAAGAAGTGAAAAATTATTCTTCACAACAAGAGAATCAAATGAGGCATGCATAGCGTGAACAATGCCACTGGCACCAGCAGCTGGAAAGGGATAGTGGTCTGTTGGATATTTCCCATAATAGACCAGATGTGTCAGCATACAGTACATTTGTGGACCAGAGAAGAGTGGTAAATTGTATAAGTGAGGCTTTCTTGACAATTTCAGAAGTGCTTTTTTTGAGTTATTTTCTCTGTCCACAAGTAGCAGCGCATTGCATGACCTTTAGTCTGTGAAAATCTGGGAGAAATTTGTAAGTAAAACATTAATTTTCAAGCAAAAATAAATCACTAATGCCAAAATAAATAAAAAAATAAGAAAAAAAATAAATTACAAATGCTTAAACGTTTTTGTTTATCCTTCTGTTCTTTCTAATGCAGACTTTGGACTGTGTAAACTGCACCTTAACATCAGGTTCCACAGATTTTTCAGGTTCTAGTTACATTCCCTGAGAAATCAGACTTCAGCTTATAATAGCGTAATAGTTTCAGTTGTTGCCAGGATATCCAGTTCAAAACCGATTTTTGGTGAGGTGGACACTAAGGAAGGAAAAAAGGAATTTTATCAGTTGGTTACGTAGAGAGATTGAGCTGGAAAGAATCTGCTGTGGGTTAGGGTGGTTAAGAATAGAGATAGAGATGTGTGTAAAGAGCATACTGGGTACGTGTAAGCAGTATTTTGAGAATAATGAATGCAGAAAATGGGAGAGCGAGGAGGACAGAATCCAGAGAATTAGTAAGGAGGAAGTAAGAGCAGCTGTGAAGAGGATGAAGACCGAAAGGCAGTTGGTCCAGATGACATACCTGTGGGAGGTACAGTATGTATATGTCTAGGGGAGATGTTTGCGATGATTAAAGCTGGGTGACATACAGCATTATCTTGCTGGCAGCACTAATCAAGGGAAAGATATGGTCGCCAACAATACTCAGGTAGCCTGTTAAACCATTGTTCAGTTGGTACTAAAGGCCCCAAAATGTCCCAAGGAAATATCCATGACACCAACCACCACCAACCTATACTGTTGACGATTTCATGTTTTCATATACTTTTGGCCAAATTCTGATCCTACCATCTGACTCTCGCAGCCGAAATTAAGACTCATTAAACCCAGCAACATTTTTCCAATCTACTATTGTCTGGTTTTGTGAGCCCGTGTGAATTGTAGCCTCAGCTTCCTGTCCTTAGTAAGCTAAGCTTGGGAGTGGCACCCAATGTGGTCTTCTGCTGTAGCCCATCTGCTTCAAGGTTCAACTTGTTTCCATTCGGTGATGCTTTTCTTGCATACCTTAGTTGTAATGAATTGTCATTTGAATTATTGTTACCTCATCATCTCGTCATCTCAAAGCATTCTAGCAACCCTCCTCTGACTTCCAGCATCAACAAGGCATTTACACCCAGAGAATTGCCACTTAATGGATATTTCCACTTTATTGGACAATTCTCTGTAAACCCTAGTGATATTTGTGTGGAAAAATCCCAGAAGATCATCACTTTCTGAAATACTCAGACAGGCACTTTTGGGGATTACATACTCACCTCTTGTACTCATGTGATGACATCAAATAACTGCTTTGCATAAAATGATTACATTAGTTCGCTTTAACTTGATCCAAAGACCCTTGGTGTTTTACTGTCCTAACAGATGCTGCTGTAAAGCTGTATTTAGTATTTAATCATGTCATATGCAACACTATTGCCAGAAAAAATAGGCAGTTACAGTTACCATAACTATATTGGAGTGTTCTGACTTTCATTTGACTTTAATTCTAAGTAACTACATTACTTGGGACAGGAGCTACAGATGCATGTTTTAATGAAGGATTAATGGTACAAATAAGGTTGTAATAGAGTTAAAACTGATAAAGATGTAATAGTCAAGTCTTTTCTGTCTCTTGGTAATGTATTGGTGATAACACTTGACACATCATCAAGTTATGTTATAAATGAGTACTGAGTATCCTACTCCCATTTCCATATTAACAACATTTAATCTTATACTTCCTGTCACCATGGAGCAAATAATCATTATGCTATCAATTGTATTCCTTCACACTACCTATCTAACTTCCTGTCTCCTTCCTTTACCCCCTCATGCTATCAGTGGCTGGGACAAAAAGCAAAGCTAGAGGTGAGTTATTGCCTCCATTTTCTTGCTACATGATTTATGTTGCACGCAGTTCCCAATAAACAATGTTTGGATCACCCTTTTATCTCCACCAAAAGCCTAGCAAGCATTAACATACGCTGCTCCTCCTGAACCATTCTGGGCATTTTTTTGTTGTCGTTGTTAACCTTTCTTTCTCCAGGAAAGGTTTGTTGAACATCCTTGCTGTTTTCAGATACAATCTTCTTCACGTATGTGTAGATTTCACACTGAAGTGCTGCCTGCCTCACCAAGCCATGCTTTCCTGCATTTGGCCTCTGTGCAGCTCATCTGGAGCAGCTGGGGGTGGTTTCCAGTTCAAGGACACCTCATATTTAGGGGGGATCATTTCTTATTTACTCATCCTCAACAGATTTTCTTAGCTGTATTGCACATTCAAACAGGAGATGTTCTGGTAACCAACTTTATTTTTTTTTCACCTCTGACCATCAGTATTTTACACTTTTTCAGATAAATATGTTCACTTCAATGGGTCTGATCTATTGCCTATTAAAATCTGCTTTCAAATGCATTATTAATTTAGATATTTGGTCATTTTAACAATGTTTCTTTAAGTTCAACATACATTTTGTGTTATTGGTCTTTTTTGTTTGTTAGTTTGCTAGCATTTTTTTCATTATCTAGGTGTTACGAAGATATTGTTTGCTTTATGTCTACCTTACCATTTTTTATTTGAATCCCTCACTACAATCATACACTCATACATTAATTAGTTTTCAGTCTATTTGTTTTGCTGTTTGTGGATGTTTTTTCTTTTACATATCCTCAACCAAACTAAATGATTAATGTTTTATTTTTGGTTTTTTCTTAAAATGAATGTTAAGCCCCACACTCCCTCCTGGAAAATACTGTCTTTTCTAATTACCAAGGAGGTTTTTTTTATAATTAACAGAAGATACACATTTAGCCTTTGTACCCGTAGAATGGGACAGGCTTTTTCAGAAGCACCTTTGTAGCTGATTAATTGTTGATAATATATTATATATAT